CTCACCACCCCGATCTGTCCTAATCCGCTTGCTTCTCCACGAATGGCAGCCAATCTTCCCGTATTGTAGAGGCGGCATGGTCCTTTTGCTTCAGCGGATATGCCCACATAAGCCTGCTCCAATCATCCACTATGGTCAGAAAGTACCGCTCCCCCTTGTGCCCCTGAACCGGCAGCGGCCCCACCAAGTCCATGTGGACCAGCTCCAAGGGCTTCTTGCTCTTGCCAGCCACACTATGGAAGGGGAAACGGACGGCAGGATCAAAAAGCCATTGGAGCTGGTCCACATGGACTTGGTGGGGCCGCTGCCGGTTCAGGGGCACAAGGGGGAGCTGAACTTTCTGACCATAGTAAATGATTGGAGCAGGCTTATGTGGGCATATCCGCTGACGCAAAAGGACCTTGCCGCCTCTACAATACGGGAAGATTGGCTGCCATTCGTGGAGAAGCAAGCGGATTAGGACAGATCGGGGTGGTGAGTTTCTTGGAGCTGAGATGACGGCCTGGCTCAAGAAGCAGGGCATCCAGAGGGAGCTGACCACAGCTTACACCCCACAGTCTAACGGTGTAGCAGAACGGGCGAACCGGACAATTCTGGAGACAGCTAGGGCGCTGCTCATAGAATCTGGGCTGGGCAACTTGATGTGGCCCCATGCTGTTCGGCACGCTACCGTCGCTAGGAACAGGGTACTCACAAAGGTTGGGGATGACTCGTGGGTGCCGTTGGAGAGGTGGCTTGGGAGGAAGCCGCCGGTGGACATGCTGAGGGTGTTCGGTTGCATGGCAGTCGCCCACGTCCCCAAGTCCTACCGCAGTAAGTTGGGGGCGAGTGCAATCTGGTGTGTGCATTTGGGGCTGGCTGCTGAGAGCAAGGGATGGCTGTTGTGGGAACCTTCCAAGGGTGTGTTGTTTGACAGCAGGGATGTGAAGTTTGTTGAGGGCATGATGTATGGGAGCTGGGAGAAATAGCCGGAGGCCAGGGTGTCCCAGCAAATGGAGCAGATCACCATGCAGCTGGACCTGACTCCTAGTGTGTGGGAGGAGGGAGAAGAGGCAGCTGCAGAGGGTGGCGATGGAAAGAAGGTACAGGAGGCACCTGCTGGTGGAGAAAATGATGTGGAGACTAGCACTAGTGGAGCTGCTGGATCTGAGGGGGGAGAGCAGCAGGAGGGGAAAATTAAGAAGCTGAAGGGTGTCGTTATGAAGGGATGGGAGACACCCGTCTCCAGGCCAGGACGTACCCGTATGGCTACTAAGAAGCTGACTGCAGGAGCTGATGTAGCGGAGCAGCAGCTTGTGACCGAGGAGGCATTGCTGATTCTACCGCATGGCTATGATCCGAATGAGGAGGATGAACCTGCCTACTGTTTTCTTGCTCCTGCACCAGAGGAACCAGCTAGCATGGAGGAGGCATTAGCTGGACCAGATAGGGAGAAGTGGCTGGTTTCCAGGGATGCTGAGTACCAAAGCCTGCTAGGGAATGGGACATGGGAGCTGGTGGTGCTGCCCGAGGGGAAGAAAGCCGTACAGTGCAAGTGGGTGCTAAGGATCAAGACCGATGACAAGGAACAGGTCACCATCTACAAGAGTAGGCTGGTGGCTAAGGGGTTTATGCAGAAGGAGAAGCGGGACTTCAATGAGATCTTTGCTCCCACTGCCAAACCCCCTACCCTCCGTGTCTTGTTTCTAGATGCAACTGTTAGTGGGAAATTCATCATTCAGATGGATATATCAACGACATTCCTCAATGGGATTTTAGAGGAGGATGTGTACATGACGCAGCCGCCTGGGTATGAGGATGCTACGGGCAGGGTGTGCAAGCTGAAAAAGTCCATCTATGGCTTGAAGCAGGCGCCACGCTGCTGGTACCAGAAGTTGGCAGCTGTTTTAGAGGAGATGGGATTCAGGACCAGCAGCTGTGATAAGAGCCTCTTTCTCAAGGGGGAGGGAGAGAAGCTGGTGCTGTTTCTGGTCTATGTGGACGACATTCTTCTCTTTAGCAGCATCATGAAGGAGATCCAGAAGGTGCAGCAGCAGCTGATGGAGAACTTCAAGTGCAAGAACCTTGGGGAGGTAAAGTACTACCTCGGGATGCACGTGGAGAGGGATCTGGATCACAGGTGGTTGAAGCTGCACCAGGAGAAGTTCATCAAGGAGCTGGGGGAGAAGTACGGGATTGAGAATGAGCGCAAGGTTGCAACTCCCATGCCAGCAAAATTTAAGCTTGTGAAGGCTACAGAGGATGAAGGAGTTGAAGCCGAGGAGCAGCAGCAATTTCAGTCCTTGGTGGGCAGCCTCTTGTATGCAGCAGTTCACACAAGGCCCGACATCTCATTCTCGGTTGGGCAGCTGGCTAGGGTGGTGCAGAATCCATCAGAGGAGCAGGTGGATGCAGCTGAGCGTGTGGTGAAGTATCTGAACTTCCACCCAAGCATTGGAGTTCAATACTCCGCATCAGCACAGGTGAAGAAGAAAGGGGTTGAGGTGCTGAAAGAGAAGGGGGAGAGGCTTAGAGAAGGCAAGCTCTTTCTCACTTGCTTTACCGATGCTACGTGGGCCTCTGAGAAAGAGGATTCCTCGTCTATGGGAGGATATATCTGTGTAGTTGTAGGACGACCGGTTAGTTGGAGGTCAAAGAAGCAGACGGAGACGGCACTCTCTTCTGTGGAATCAGAGTACATGGCGATGTTCCATGGGGTGAAGGAGGTGATTTGGCTGAGGAGGTTGTTAGAGGAGATTGGCTAGGAGCAAAAGGTTGCTACGCCGCTGTTTTGTGATAGCAAGGGAGCTTTTGGGATGGCCAGGAACGCTGTGCTTCATGGGCTGAACAAGCACATGCGTATCAAGTGGCACTGGCTGCGTAAGGAGGTGAAGAGGGGGACGGTGAATCCGATCTACATCAAGACTCACCAGCAGCCAGCAGACTTCCTCACCAAGAGGCTTGCGGATGAGCCTCATTGGCGTTGTGTGCGCATGGGTGGAATGAGCATGAATTAGTATGGAATGATGGGGATGCAGCCGGCAGGCTGAGGGGGAGTGTGTTGGGTGCAAATTCACATTGCACGACATCCTGCCGTCTGTTTGTACGAGTATGCGTGTGCGAATGCATTTGGGTATAAATGGAATGTTCATGTGTTTGTTTGCTTTCGCAATTTTCGCTTGAAGCATTTGCAGGTACTCGCACAATGTGCGCTTCGGCACAACATTGTACGCGCTATGATTAGTGCAAGCAGAAAGGACGAGCTCGCAAAGAAACCCAAGATGGAAGCTTTGCAATTCGGTCAAATTGATTGCGCAGATTCAGTTCTATCCAACTTGAAATTGTACTGTTTTGTTTGGTTAACTATAGTGTAGCAGGGCAGGCACTATAGGGGTACAATTTAGGTGAAGGTTGGATGTTGTTTGTCTGTATCTGCATGGTACAAGGCCAGGGGAAACTAGCGGAACCAGCATTTGGCTGGTTGGGCAAAGACAAAACAGGTTCTGTTTTTAGAACCTGAATCTGGTTGTTGTTTTCCCAGGTTGGAAAAACAGAACCAGAGGTTGTTTTCCAACCTACCACCTGCTGTTTTGTCCAGCCAGGTTGGTTCTGTTGCTTGGAATCATTTGGGATCATCCCTGGTTGTTCCCAGGTTGATTCCCAAGGTCCTTGCTAGCTAGAACTATTTATTCCTTCTTGGAATTTCGTTTCTAGGCGGTTCAACGGCGTAATGCTACCCGAGTCAACGCTAGTACGCTAGCACTCCAACGCTAGGCAAACGCTGTCCCAGCTATAACTTCGTAATGGCATAACTTTTTGTGAGGCAACTTGGTTCATTTTAGAGCTCTTGGAGCGAGCTTCGATGTAGTAAATTCTCAGCTTAATCCGATCAACGGTCTGCACGATAATCTGCGCGACGTTCAAAGTACTCTTGCTGTTTTGACTAAGTCCCTCTTGATCCCTCTCTCTACAAACTCGGACCCGAGGATAGGGGCTGGTCTTGTACCAGGCACCCAAGGAACCTTGGAGGTGACACGGAGGAGAGGTTTTAAGTTTGATGAAGTTTTAATATCTTGAGTTTATTAGGCCCTTACACGAACACCAAGATGGAAGCTTTGCGGTTCGGCTTACTTGATTGCGCAGATTCAGTTCTATCCAACTCGAAATTGTACTGTTTTGTTTGGTTGACTATAGTGTAGCAGGGCAGGCACTATAGGGGTACAATTTAGGTGAAGGTTGGATGTTGTTTGTCTGTATCTGCAAGCTAGAGGGCCAGGGGAAACCAGCGGAACCAGCATTTGGCTGGTTGGGCAAAGACAAAATAGGTTCTGTTTGTAGGACCTGAACCTGGTTGTTGTTTTCCCAGGTTGGAAAAACAGAACCAGAGGTTGTTTACCAACCTACCACCTGCTGTTTTGTCCAGCCAGGTTGGTTCTGTTGCTTGGAATTATTTGGGATCATCCTTGGTTGTTCCCAGGTTTATTCCCAAGGTCCTTGCTAGCTAGAACTATATATTCTTTCTATGTTTGTGCCTGGATATAGTCAATTTGATTCAAGCGAATTCCTCCCTTCCTGGAATTTCGTTTCTACGCGGTGCGACGGCGAAATGCTACCCGAGTCAATGCTAGTACGCTAGCACTCCAACACTAGGCAAACGCTGTCCGAGCCATAACTTCGTAATGGCAGAACTTTTTGCGAGGCAACTTGGTTCATTTTAAAGCTCTTGGAGCGAGCTTCAATATAGGAAATTCTCAGCTTAATCCGATCGACGGTCTGCACGAAACGCTGCGCGACGTTCAAGGTACTCTTGCTGTTTTGACTAAGTCCCTCTTGATCCCTCTCTCTACAAAATCGGACCCAAGGATAGGGGCTGGTCTTGTACCAGGCACCCAAGGACCCTTAGAGGTGACCCCAAGGAGAGGTTTTAAGTTTGACAAAGTCTAAATGTCTTGAGTTTATTAGGCCCTTACACCAACATACTGTTTGCTCACAGTGGATCACACGCGATGCTGCTGCCCGTCATGCTGTGCGTAGTCACCTGCCGTCAGCGCGCGCACTTTAGTCAGTACAAGAGTGCTAAGAACTTATACGACGCTGTAGTTGCACGCTACTCCTCCCCTGCCACTGCTGCCCTTAGTCGCCTCATGCTGCCGTACCTGTTCCCTGACCTCGCTGCCTTTGCCACAGTTGTTGACCTCGTCACGCACCTCCGCACTAGTGACACCCGCTACCGCGCTGCGCTTCCTGCTGAGTTCTGCGCCAAGAACCCCCCCCTCTATGTACATCACCCTGTACTACCTAGTCACCCGACTCCCTGACTCCCTTCGCTCGGTTAGGGATCACTTTCTCTCTCTCGGCCCCACCATGCTCACCGTTGACCTTCTCGAGGAGCGCCTCCTTGCAGCTAAGAAGAGCATAGTTGCTATAAGAGCCTCTTGTGGTGACCCTCGTGCCCCTTTCTTTGAGGGGTGCTCCCCCGTCCCCCTTTTGCCCTCTGTTGCCTCTGTTGCCGCTGTCGACTTCATTGGCACCGAGTTGGTCGGTGCTGCGTCTGCCCGTAGTGGGAAGCGCCGCACCGGCAAGGGCAAGGGGGGCAATAGTGCTAGAGGAGCTGGTGGGGGCGGTGGTGGTGACGGTGGGGGCAGTGGAGGGGGTGGGGGTGGCGGTGGGAGTGGTGGCCGGGGTGGGGGCTCTAGTGGCAGCAGCGGAGGTGGTGGCGGTGGGGGTGGAGGAGGCGGCGGTGGCGGTGGTGGCGGTGGTGCTCGTCGGGGTGGCTCTGCGCAGCGGGGAGGCTTCAGTGGTGGCCAGCGTCAGCAGCAGCATCGCTCTCCTGAGACACCGCCGCCCCAGCAGCTTCGTGAGTGGTTCGCTGCGCGTCAGCGGTCTAGGGGTGCTTGTCCCTGTGCCTACGTCCTGCGTACTGGTGACCGCACTGGGGAGCCGTGCGGCGGGCCGCACACCACCCACCGCTCCTTTGGCCGCCTGACTGACGCCTGGCGTCTCCAGTTCCCTGACGCCACTGAGATCCGTCTCTGGGGTGATCTGCTTAGGTCGGGGGTTGCTATCTTTGATCTTGACTATGATGCTATTCTTGCTGCCATGTATGTTGTGTCTAATAGTGATGAGGGTGACTATTACCTGTGTGTTCCGCATGAACGGGCATTGCGGCTGCTGCTCTAGGTGCTCGCGAGTCTGCTGCTCCCGGTACTAGTGAGTCTGCTGCTGCAGGTGCTGGTGAGTCTGCTCTCTCAGGTACTGCGGAGATAACTGCTGCAACGGGAGCTAGACTGCGGGCTAGGCACGTGTGCTCGTGTGATCTCTGCGTTCGTTCGCTTAGTCGTTTCCTTGTGTTCACGCTTCTTGCTAGTTCACGGGGAGAATTGGCAAGAGTTTCACTAGGAAAACATGACAACAATGATGGCAACAACATTGGCAGCATTGAATACGTCAAAGCTAGCTAGGCTGTTGGTCGACCTCCAGCGCAGCACGGTCGACCGCACTCCAGCGCAGCAGCGCTCGCACCTCTCCAGCGTAGCAGAGTAGCGGTTCGCCAACGTTGCAAGTCCACGGTGTGCCAGCGCTGCACCAAGTCGGCTGCACAGCGTTGCACCCGCAGAACAACGGTGCACCTGCTTCGTAGGTGCGCGCAGCTGGTTGGCGCTCCACACCTTGTCACGAGCACAGTGAAGACGCCTGGCAGACTCCACGCCAGCGACTGCGCCCACCAGCCACGTTGACCTCGGGATACCACCCCCGAGGTCGGCCTCGCATACTCCACCGTGGCGACACTCGCACACATCGCCAGCGTATTCTGGTCGACCGGGCAACCACGCCTGACCGACCAGCACAGTCCGTAGCCGGCCACGCATGTCCGGCGTCCCCAGTCCGGCGTCCAGGCGCCCAGGACACCTTTTGAACCCCCAGGTCGGCGTCCAGACGCCCAGGACGCCGACCAAGCCTCCAGAGCGGCGTCCCTCCTTCCAGGACGCCGACCAGACGCCCAGGCCGGTGTGTGGACCCCTCGGGACTCCCAAGTCTGCGTCCGGACCCGAGGACGCCGTGCAGACGCCTCGGTAGTCGTGGCGACGTCCAGCTTCCCAGGACGTCGTCCAGGCGTCCGGGACACCAACTAGGCGTCCAGGGAAGCGTCCTCCTGCTCGGCGCCCTACAGCCAGACGCCCTCCAGCTTGGCGTCCTTGCAGTGGCCCCCGTGCCCGCTGCTGTAGGTCGGCTGCAACCCCCGCACATCCGACCACAAGGTTGTCTCCGCCCAAGCGAGGACGGGGCCTTACAACGCTCCAGTTGACACTCCCCTGCCGCGTTCACGCTTGGGCCCCCAGCCCACACGGCAGTACAGCTGCGAGAATAGCACGTCGGCGTGCACCCAACACACAGCACGCCGGTCACCGCACCAGCCATGCAAGAGGGCATGGCACCTACTGCTGCACGTCGTTGTCGCCGTCGCCCACGTCAGCCAAGCGCACCTGGCCGATTGCGACGGAGCACCGGTTGAAGGCCGGATAGTGCAGCGCCTTCGTCAGGAAGTCGGCTGGCTGCTCAGCGGTCGAGATGTACTGCAGCGAGAACTTCCCACGCTTCACCATGTGCTGCAGCCAGGCCTGTCGCCGCTCCATGTGCTTGAGGTTGCCCGTCAACCCCATGCCCTCGGCGACCGTGATGGCCGACTTGTTGTCCACGCGCACGACAGTCGGCTTCCCGGCGTTCAGCTGCTAGAACCCGGCGAGGAGGAAGCGAAGGCGGCGTCCCTCCTCGCCAGCTTCAATGGCCGCCACGTACTCCGACTCGGTCGATGACAGCGTCGAGCACTTGATGCGCTGGCTCGACCAGGAGACTGCGGCCCCACCGTAGACGAACACGTTGCCACCCGTGCTCGTCTTGTTCTGCTTGTCACCGGCGTCGTTGGCGTCCACGTAGCCGACCAGCTCGAGTGACTCAGGTCCACCGCCAAACTCCAGGGCGGTGTCACGTGTGTTGGCGAGGTAGGCAAGGCAACGGTCGACCTCGCATCAGTGCTGGTCGCTCCTCACCGTGAGGCCGCTCCCCAGCTTGCTGCAAGCAAAGGCGATGTCCGGCCTCGTCGTCGTCGCCGCGAACTGCAACCAGCCGACCTTCTGCCGGTACTCCTCCTCCTGCCGTTCCTGTGCCTCCTCGTCTTTGAAGGTGAGCTCGGCGTAGGCGTCGACCGAGACTGGCGTCTTTGGGGTGCGCCCGGTCTGCTCCTTGTCGATGAAACGCCTACGTAGCTTGTCGGCGTAGCCTTGCTGGTGCAGCCACAGTTTCCCCGCCGACCTGTCGCGCACGATCTCCAGCCCGAGGTACTTCTGCACCGGCGAGATCTCGCGCAGCTCGAAGGCGGCTTCCAGCAGCTCCTTCAGCTCCTTCAGCATCGCGGCGCTGCTGGTGGCGGCGAGCAGGTCGTCAACGTAGACCAGCACCCAGCAGGCCACTCCGTCCTCGCCGACCTTGAAGTAAAGAGCCTCCTCGACCTGGCTCTTCTTCCACCCGGCGCCAACCAGCACATCGTTGAGCGCCAAGTACCACAGCAGCGGCGACTGCTTCAGCCCATAGAGGCTCTTCAGCAGCCTGCACACCCGGCCGGATCCATCGTGGAAGTAGTCCGGCTGGTGCATGATGTTCACTCCCGGCGGGCGTTCGACCAGCTCCCACGTTCCCATGTTGATGAGGCTGTGGATCTCTTCTTCCATGGCGGCCTTCACCGCCGGGCCCTTCCAACTCGCCAACGCCTCCTTCACCGTCATCGTCGAGATGTCCCAACGGTGCTCGGGGTCGGCTAGCATATCGGGGTCGAGCTCTAGAAACTCCTCATCCTCCTCGGCGTCGTCGAGAGCAGGTCGTCGGCATCATCCTCCACGTCGTACACCGTGGTGAAGGCAGCAGGGATGAAGAAGTCAGGCGGCCTCCGAAGTCGGCCTGAACACCGTGGTCCCGGCTGGACCTCCTCGGCGTCCCCTCCATCGTCGCTCTCGTCGCTGCCCTCGCCGTCCTGCTGCTCCTCAGCCGGCGTTGCAGCCGACTGCTCCCCTGTGGTTGGCGTCCCAGCCGACATCTCCCCTGTGGTCGGCTCCCCTGCCGACGACCCGGTCGCCAACTGCTCCTTGATTGGCGTCGCTGCTGCCTGCTCCCCTGTCAGCTGCTGTTCTGCAAACGTCTCCTTCACCGGCTTCACCGAACCTGGCTGCACCACCTGCTGACTCCCGGTCGATGTCAGCTTCGCTCCCATGCCGCCTTGCACAGCAGCACGTCGGCCACCGGCAATGCTTGGGACCGGCGCCACAGGTGACGCACCACTTCTCCCCTCATTGCCGGAGGCCGACGACGGGGTTAGTTGATGCAAATTGGCATCCAGGGGAGGGGCAGGTGAAGGGTAGGGACTGGGGACGTCCTCGGCGTCCTCACTAGCAAGCGCACCGGCCTCGGCGAGCAGAGGCACCAACGCCGTCGAGGTGTCCGTTGGCGGGTGAAACGGCATCCGCCCTAACACCGGCCCGTGCGCCGACGTCCACATGTCTTGCGACATGCTCTCGTAGAACACCACGTCCGACGTGGTGACCACCCGGTTCTCGGAGATGTCGAGGAGCTCCCAGCCCTTGCTCTCCTCCGACACGCCGAGGTGAAGGCCCCACTGTGCCTTCGGCTACAGCTTCCCACCACGCTGCTGCTCGGGGACTAAGAATTGCGCCATGCAGCCCCACACCCGCGCCAGCAACAAGTCGGGCTTCTTATCGGTCAGCAGCAGGTACGGCGTCGTCCCCGGCGGCAACGCTGACCTCTCAAGGCAGTTGCGAACCCAGACGGCCTGCCGGAGAGCGAGGTGCCACCAGTGATGCTGCACGCCCATGTGCAGCAGCATCGTCCGCACCAACTCCACCACCGTCCTCATCTCCCGCTCCGCCATGCCGTTCTGCTGCGGGGTGTATGGGCAGGTCAGATTGTGGACGATCCCCTTGCCGTTCACGAAGTTGGTGAACTGCTTCCCAAGGAACTCCCCTCCCCGGTCAGAGCGCAGCATGAACACCGACTTCCTCGTCTGCCGCTCAGCCACCGCCAGCCACTGCACGAACACCGGCAACGCATCTGACTTCTTGGCGACCGGCTTCACCCACACGTAGCGGGTCTTGCGGTCCTTCAGCAGCAAGAAGTACAGGCTGCCATCCTTGGCAGCCACGCGGAACGGCCCGCACAGGTCGATGTGCACGACGGCCAGCACGTCGTCGGCGTCGGAGCCTTGGTCGGGGAAGGTGTGCCGCGCCAGCTTTCCGCCGACGCACGAGACACACGGTGAGTCGGCGCCTGCGCCGACTTGAGGTCCAGCCCAATGGCGACCTCGTTCTTCGCCGAGTTCCTGATGGTGTCCATGCCGACGTGCGCAAGCCTTGCGTGCATCCTGTCCGGCGATGCCTTTGTCGCCGAGACGATCGCGCTCAGGGCCACTATCTCCGTGGTAGGCTTTGTCGGCATGGCTGAGCATGGGCGCAGATTGGTGCAGAGGACACGCCCGTTGTACGTCGCCCGATTGAGCACCTCCACTGCTGCCGAGACGAGCAGCATCCCGTCGCCGTCCTCCTGCAGCTTCACGCCGTGCTCCTTCAGCTGGCCGGCTGAAAGCAGGTTTGCCCGCACACTCGGGACGTAGAGCACGTCGGGGATGAGCACCTGCTTCCCGGCCTCTCTTGCAGAGCGACAGTGCCGCGGCCATGGACATCCTGCAGTGCCCCATTGAAGCCGCGCACGTGCTTGATGGAGCTGCTCGGCTGCAGGTCGACGAAGACTTCCTTCGTCCCCATCGAGTGGTGGGAGCAACCGCTGTCAAGCAGTACCACCGCCGGGTTTGCCTGCATAGCTGCCGCCACCGCCTGGAAGTCCTCCCCAGCCTCTGGCGCCAGCGAGACGGTCGGCTCCACGACGCCATCTTGTTGTCCCGCCCCTTGCCGCCTGCAGAGGAGTCGACGTCCTTCGCCGAGGTCGACGTCGTCAACTGCTTCTCCTTGCGCGGCTTGTTTCCTCCTCGACGAGGGCGACGACTGCCAGACCTCCCACGGCCTCCCTTGGCGTCGTCGTCGGCGGAGTCATTGCGGTCGGGGCAAAGGCGATTAGCTCGGCTATCTCCAGCTGGGGCTCGATGGCTTCCTTCCATGTGA